CCAGAACTGAACAGTTTCAGAGCTGAAAGTCAGGCCCCAGTTGCAAAGCTCTTGCCCATATTTACAGCCAGTGCTGAGGTGCCTGTCCCTGACACATGACAGCTGACAGTGGTGCACCACGCTGGCCACAGGCATCATCACTCCTTCCCCAAGCACTGGGATTTATAATCCCATCAAACCAAATTCACTTCACTGAGTTTGATTTTGCTTCTGCTTTCATCATCCCAAATCAAATGGGAGTGATGGACTGACAGGCCTCGTGAGCACACAGAGCACAGCACAGCCAGAAATCTGCTTTTGAAGTTTGCAGGCTGCTCATTACAGCAGGAAGCAACAGTCCTGATCCTGTGCCACATTTGAGCAACCCCATCCACATCCAGGGATGCTCTGAAAAGCACCCTGACATGGTTCTCCTGTCTAAGAACAAATGCATTTATATAACAAAAAACCCTTCCCTCACTGCCCTTCATTTGCCTATAGACTTGTCTCAGAGTTTCCTTAAGACTCCAGACTATAAAAGCACGTGCAGCAATGCAAAAGGTCCTTTTTGATCTTATCATCAGTGTTTCATGATGAAGATATTAGCTTGGCAATGATGCCACAGTTTCACAAACATCCACCCAGCTCAACAGCCTCTACCTCCCATTCGGGCAGCAGCATGAGAATTCTGTCTTCGTCAGGGTTTAACCAAGCTGGGGCAGAGCAGCTTGTGCCAGGACAAGACCCACAATATAAAACTGCCACACCAGCAGGTGACACTTTGCTTTGCTTCTAGACATGATTCTTAAGGAGAACAAAGCCATCAATGCTTTAAAAGCATGTGAGAAAATGTGATCACTAAATGAAAAATGCAAAATCACTTGCTTTTTCTTTTGCTGTATTAGACTACCCTCCAAGACAAACATATTAAAAAAAAATTAACTATGAAGCAAAATAAATACCTTTTGAGTCTTCTTTTTCTTTGGGGAACTCTTTCAAACTTCTATTTAAAAATAAAAAGCAACTAAAATCCACCCAATGTCAGCATTCCTTGTCCTATTCTCATCAGCATTCCTTACACAGGCAACCCTGCTCCTGGGATCTTTGTCAAAGAAAGCCAGTCAAGAATACCACTCTTAGTTCTAAATATCCATGGAAGGTATATAGCTTTTTCTACTAGGAATATTTCTGATTTTTGCCTCAATCTCCCAATTTTCTTGGAAAAAACTCAATCCCTGCCTATAGCTCTCCTGAGCTTACTGGTGTAAACCTAAGCCTGAATTTGTCTCTGATACACACTGACTTCTCTCTGCAGCCTCTTCTAGGTGAGCACTCCATCTGCTCCAGGAGCAGCTGAAAACAATGGAACTACCAATATTGATAACAAATGTCAAAGGTGGTAGAAATCCATGCAGAATAATTAGGAAGACATTAATTCACGTGCTAGGAAGACTAATAAGGTAATTAGAATATTAAAAGGATTAAAGATATAAAGAAAGAAAAAGCTTTGCTACGTCCATGACTCTGTAAGTCTGTATCAGGTAGCTACAATCATTAATAGCACTAAGTCCACAGAACACCTGGAACTCATGGGAACACCTGCACCCAAACCCTTGCACTTCAGGAATGGCTTAGCAACACTGATACTGGTAAATATTCATTCTTTGTTATTTGTGGTCTTAAAAAAAAAACAAAACACTACATCAGAAAAAAAGCTCCTCAGATTAATTGCAGAATTGATCTTTTTAATGATTCTCCTACCCAGGTCTCACTTTGTTAACAAGCCCTACTGATGTTTTGTAAAATCACCACAAAAACAACAGAAGAATTATGAATCCTGAGATCTTCAGTAAGGGGCCTTTGTTATGCCATGGAGAATGAGAGGCAGTGGAAAGGAGAGAGTACATTCAACAGAGCTTGCAGAGTAGGTCAGGTCCAAATAGCTGTGGTTGTGCCATCTGTCAGCACTAATCAAGTCCTTCCTTACCTCAAACCACCACTTGTGCTCCTGGGAATTACAGCTGCCCCAGACCAGAGAGGAGGAGGAGGGGAAAAAAAAGTGCTGGGTATTACTGTACACTACTGAGAGTGTTTTGAGAACTCACACAATGCACACACACTCTTCTATTTATGTGAGGTCTTAAAAAAAGCGATCAGCTTGAGCTAATCACACTCCCACCATCCAATTTTAAGAGGGTTCTCCAGGAACTATTCTACTAATGAAGTTTAATAAGGCATCTTTGAGTAAAGATGTGAAGGAGTGTAGGCAAGAAGGGTTTTACTTATGTTCACTCTCATTGAACGGCTCCAGGAAAAATGCTGATTATGCATTTAATACCCTGCAGACCTCAGGTTTAGGTAACACACTAAGGAATTTAAACTCTGAGCACAGCCCTGCTGTTGGCGTGAACTCATCCCATCACGCTGCAAACAGAGTAAGTGCTCCTGCAGCCACGTGCTTCCATCTCAGGCAATGCATTGAGTATTACAGACCACATGTCAGATTTAGCTCCTGTGTTAGTGACTAGCAAAGAAAATCTCGTGCAATCCAATAGTTGCCAAGGTAACTACTCTTCCAGGGGGAAGATGAAATCTGGCGACGGCCTGTGTGCGCTCCCATCTAACAGAACAGCTGCCCGAGGTAATTTAGGCTCCACAGAAATCTGAGTGGATCTCAATGGTTTTGTATCCTCAGCTAAGGCAGACCTGTCTGAGGGCTGCTCAGGGAAAGGAACGCTCTGTACAGCTTTCAGGAACTGGAGTATCAGCATCGTGTAACCTTGGCTCTAACAGGGCTCCCTCTGCCCAGGAGAGCATTGCATTGCTCCAGCCTGCAGGGAGGAAACAAGGATTACCTTGGTGGGGCAAACACAGTTGTCTAGGACATTTGGAGTAGCTGCAGGGCAACATAAATTCCTCTTGACAGGGCAATTTTTGAGTCAAAATGCACCTGGGGCTGCTAAAAAATGCACAAAATTATGCTACTCACTATATTTTCTGAAAACAATACAGAAAAGGGTCTAATATTTTCCAGGTATCTGAAGCACAGGATCCTTCATGCACTGACAGTAGCAACCTGCCAAAGGCAACAGGCAAAGCAGTGAATACCAGGGATGTAACACAGTTTGACAAGCTCAGAGAATCATTCAGGACTTCTTCCCTTCTAACCTGTGGACTTGTTGCTGTGAGTTACTCCCATGCACGGGGCCTCAGCTCTTCCCATGGAAACCAGGGCACCTCCATCAGCTGATGTCAAAAGGCATCTCAGCCAAGCAAAGAGATGGAGCAGGAGTTTTCCTAGTGCAGATGTGTCTTCAAAATGGGGGCATGAGGAAAGGCTGCAAAGTGCATGATCCATAAACTGGATTGAAATAAAAGTCTCCATGTTTTTAATTGTGCATATGTACCAAGAAACCAAAGTGCTCAAATGCTTTCACAATAGCCACAAGGATTTACCCACTGAAATGAAGCCTTAATTGGGCTCTGAAATGCAAAACAATCTGCTTGCAATGGAGATGATGTGACTTGGTGTAAAAATACTGGATTTACAAATCATTATTAAGTTTGAAAACTCTGCCTATAGTCAATGGGTTTCTCTCTCTCAATCACAATTGAGAGACAATTTGATGCAAGAGAGGTTAAAGACATCATTAATACAGGCTGTTCCATGCAAAGAGTCAGTCACATGATATAAAGAGCCAGACTGAAAATCGACTTGAGCATTCATAAGCACAAAAGTGTGTTCCTGTGCTTCCACAACTATCACATTGTTTAGAATTTCTGATTCTACTCTCCTTCCCTCACGCTCCCATATAAAAAGGAACCAATGAACTAATTTTCCTTAATACACAAATCACCTTTCATTCCAAGGCCAGTGATCCTCATGGACTAGAAAGACTGCATCCTTCTAGAGCAAGTGGAATAGAAGGATCAGCCAAAAAGGCAAAATCTAAAGCAATCAAATAATGTCAAGGAAAAAAAGAAAACCCAAATCCTGGTACCCTAGTAGAAAGTCAGAAAAAGCTTAAAAATTAAAGACATGTACTATACTTCTAAAGATTCACAAGTCCTAGTGGAGGCTACTAAATGCTTTGTTGACATCTGTGAAGTTAATTAATGTTTCTAACCAAATTATCTCCTCCATGTTTTTATATGTGAAATTGTGGTGAGATCACCATCTGGGGTTAAATTCAGCTTCACCACAGCCTTCCCAATGCTGGAGAAGAGACCCCCATGATTGAAAGTCTTCTACTACTTATCTTTAGCACTGCCAGTAGCTTTCCCCATGAGCAACAAAGTCTGGTGCCAAAGTTTTGCATAGACTGGCCAACTTGTCACCTGTTTTCTCATTCACACCTTCTCCACCTTTGCAAGGAATCATAGTCACTAGTCCAGCCTCCATCTATAACCCTGTGATGCATAAACCTACGAAATTTGTGCAACTAAAAAATAAGTTTCAAAGCTGTCTTAAAAGCATAAGACGGACCTTCATTCTTTATAGCAGGAGGAGCTGCACAACACAGCAGCTGTAATCCTAAGGAAAATCATATTGTTTAACACTCATCAATTATTAATCCATTCAAGAATAAAAGTAATCTCAACTGACAAGGCAATGCCAAATCAAGTGTCAGCCCTGCATGCTTAAAAATGCTCCTACAGTTTTGTTCAGACAATAACATAGCACATCTACAAAGAGCCAGTAACACAATGAGATAATCATTTATCCAAACTAAAAGTGCATGTGTATAATAAACACTAAAAGGGCACGCATTGATCCATATATTAATCAGATTCATAACAATAGACCAATTTTTCTCTCTCTGAGGTGTGAAGAACAAGGTTATGAATCATATTGTGAACACTTAAAGATCACACTTGAATAACCTAATTGTGTACAGCAATGATAGGATGAAAAGAAACTTAATCAAACTCTGAACTGTTGTTAGGTTTCATCCTCCTAAATACAGTTCTGTGACATGACTCTAATAAATTATTTGGATAGAAAAAAAAGGTTGGTTTACCTTATTAATATTCTGAATCTCATCTATCTATTTTCTTCATGCTTCACCTCTTCATCTGAATAGAAAAACACAATTACAGCAAAAAACATCTGGGTTTACTGCAAGTTTTGATTCTTTTTTTTGTTACAAATCACGTAAATTTATACTTTTTATAAATTTACCGCCTAATAGAGAAACTGGAGTTTTGCTACATGTGAAAACTGTCAGCCAATCTTTAAATATTTATCTTTGAATTCCCCAGGTTGCATGTACTTGGAAATGTTTTCATAAATACATCGATAACTGTCTTGTACAGCTCATTAAGGAAGCTTTTTATCCTTTAGTGTAATAGTTCAGTTTACAGTTGTCTGTGAATCACTTTTATGGCCCTCCATTAAGCACGCCCTTCAAACTGCAATTATTTGTCAGATTTTGTATATACGGAAGCAATCACCAGAGAAACAATGAAAGCTGAGAAGATGCATAAACAGTTGGAAGCAGACCTTGGCCCACCTCCAGCAGAGCATTCCCTCCTCCAAGGCTGATTCCACAGGGAATGAGATGTACTTAACAGATGACCCACGTGAGGCAGGCGGGTTGTCCACAGGCAGGGTGGGCACCCTGGCTGACATCAACCAGGCCAGGATGCCTCTAATTTCCTCCTCAAACCCATCATTTCATCCAAATCCATCCAAATTTTATTCTTTCTGCTACAGATTGCCCCAGATTTTACTCCTCAAATTTTCCTCACCTATCCACATGTAATCAGCTCGTTTACACCTATATATGCTCATTCTCCAACCCACAGACCACCTCAGGGTCAGTCTCAAAACTTTCCCTATCTGTTCACTAAGTACCTCATTTTTACCACAAAATAGTCATTCTCTACTCAGAAGACTAAGTTTAATACCCAAAATTTTCTGTACCTGTCTACCACTGATTGCCTCAGTTTAGCTCAAAATGTTCATTCCCTCTGCAACAGACTGCCCCAGGTTTTACTCCCATAATTTTCCCTGCCTCTCCACATCTGATCACCTCATTTATATCTAAGTATGTTCATTCTCTACCCTACAGACTACCTCAAGTTTACTCTCAAAACTTTCCCTACCTGCTCATCACTGAGTGCCTCAGCAGAGAGAATAAAAATTTCCTTTCTGTGAGGTCCCAGGACATCTCTCTCCCACATGTTGTAGTTTTACCACTTGCCTTAGGACTTTGTCTACTGGGGAGGGGATGATCTCCTCAGTAGACAAGTGGGAGGCTGCAGCCACTTGTGCTTCTTGCCCAAACCAAAGCAGCAAACACAAGTAAGCTTCTGCTCTACAGAAGACTTACTTATAGAAATGTTGCCCTTCAATCTAATATGCCAAAGTTATTTTTACTTCCTAGAACTTAGGGAAATATAGACTTAAATAAATAAGTTTATAAATATCAAGTTTGGGAGCTTTTTTTTTTTCCCCTCAATGCAATAATCTGCTGAAAACTCCTGGATGCTTTGTTCTTTCCTGGAAATTTGCACTAGCATCCTATTATTTTTCCCCAAATCTAGTTGTGTCACTGAGTTTTTGACAGATATTGTCATCTGCCAGGTCAACGTGAATTTGGTCAAACAGGTAACCTTGCAGTGAGCTGAAAAGGATGTGCCACAGGGTTAAAACTCCAGCCCACAGGTGTGACTGTCTGCACGAGCACTCTGAGGGAACACAAACCAAACAACAGCACCCAAGGACACACTCCATTGATCCACCCAGTGAAGACACGTGGCAATGATGCCTAAGACAAGTTGAGGAGACTAAACTGAAGAAAGAATTGCAAAGGACTTTATTCCAAGTGGATGGTGCTCTCAATGCCAAGGATAGGCAGCAATGGAAGCTACTGGTTTACCAGTGTCCACAGGGAGCTAAGCAACAAGAAAAAAATTAGATTAACAAGATTAATTGCCTGATTGTGTTCTGTCTGAATATTCTGATCCACTGCTGCTGAAATCTATTAAATATTTCACTGCCAAATCTCACCTTCTACAAGGGCTGTGGGTCACAAGATGCTAATTTATGTTGTCTACTGCAGTTAGACTACTTGCATTTTTGTACGTCAGCCTCCTGAAACAAAATGCTTTTATAACAATACAGATCATATTTTAACATATGCAGATGTGGCTTCTACCACTGTTGAGCATCACACACTATATTTCTGCAAGTATCAAATCAACTCATGAGTAATGTTATGAATACTACAGAAAATTCATAAGGATTTTCCACATACTGCAAAATACTATTGCAATTTAATTGTACAGAATTCTTACATTATTAAACTAGGTATAAATAGATATAGGGACACTGATCAGTCAGCTACAAGGTAAAATAATATTAACATTTTTAGCATACTGGGGAGAGACAGAAAAACTTTTGTTCAGTCACAACACTGAAGACAAACAGTGATGGATGTGGTGAGAGCTGCATTGTGCCCACACCCCTGTGCACTGCCTCTGTTCTGATGTTACTGATAGATTTCACTGCTCCTCACATATTCATGAAGGCAGCAATAATGGATAACAAAGGGTAAAACTGGAGAACAAAGGAAAAAGCTCATTCAAAAGCAAAAGAAAACTTACCTTCTTATCTTCTAAGGAGGTTTTTCTTGCTTGATCCAGCCACTTTTTGTGATGTCTAAAAATAATTAACTCCAAGATTACTATTAATTCTTGCTAAATGTCACATTTAAAAGACCATTAACGTGTTTTTAAACATTTTGACATCCAGTGCTGCCACAGTTTACATTACTTAAAATACCTTTGCTTGTCACACTTGAGCAGGTGGAGAAAGAGAGTCAATATTGTAATTATATCTCTAACTCTCCATATCTGTACCTGTAGCTGTTTTTTTCCTGAATACTGCAACAATTTTTCTAATTACCATGTGTTCTGAGGTCCTGTAGAGAAGTGATGCCCATCACTAGCAGCTGCTGGGAGCAGAAGACTTTTCCATAGCACAAACCAGAGCTTCTCACCTTGGGAGGCATTAAAAGCTCTTACCTGGCTCCCAAAACTCCAGAAGCATTTCAAAGCACAAAAACTCTGCACCCTTAACTCTGTACCTTTGTACCACAGAAGAGAGGGATCTCAAACTCAGAAACAGAGCAATGACCCAGCACAGACACAGCTCATAACCAGAGGTTCTGATGAAAGCAGGATCCTCAAGCTCTGCAGCCTTCTGAAGCCTGTGGATCGGGTGGATTCTCAAGCAGCTGCTTACAGTACATTGGCAAAGCCCACAGAGCCACTGTGCAGATCTGGAAAAACAGTCAGAACTCAGTATCCCAGCAATGCACTCGGAACAAGGCCTAGGAGCAGCTTTTAGCAAAGCCAGAAATACAGGCATGAGCCCTGGTATAAGGAAATGGTTTATGTTGCTTGCTCAACTGTTTACTGAAGTGAACTTAGTCTTGTTACCTAAGACTCTTCTTCACTTCATTTGCACTTTGCCCAGCTCTGGTTGGAATTTTGTGCCTAGGACAGATGTTACTTTGTCACTTTTATATGTGACAAAGAAAGGGGACAAGACAGGGGAGAAAAATATATCAGTAACTAGCAACTGAGCTGAAGATGTCAGGTACCTTGGAGGATGGCAGACATGGCCCCAAGGCCGTACATTTCTCCAGTGTTTCAACAGCAAAGAAGAGTGTGTTTGTTCTAGATGTTCAAATATTACACACATAGTTATTAACTAAACCAATAGAGATATAACCCAGCAGTTACTGCATATCAGCTAAAGGGATCTACTTTCTTCTAGAGTAGTCAAGAGAAAAAAAGCACTTCTTCTTTTGGTTTGCGTACTGCGTAGGATGAGCCAGAGACTCTATATACCAACCAGTGTTGCCATGAAATAAGTCATTGCACAAGCCAGGAAGCAGAATCGATGCACTTGTGTGCAGCTTCTACATTATTTTCCAAAGTTATCAAAAAATGAAATGTCATATACAGAGACTTGTTGTTTATTGCTTAATTCGTCACTTCCATGGCCACAATTCCTGGTGTAGCTGGTGACACTATATAAAGTAGCCTATCACTCCCCTAAAATCAGCAACAGGGTAGATCTATTCTGTTTCACTAAAATTATGAGCATTAAATGTTCCTTTTTACATCTTCAGCAGCTGCTGAAAAGAGCCTTTTATTCCTTACACTTTTAAAACAATTAACACACTTGCTCTGCTATAAAGAATTGCAGTGAAAACTCCAGGTTGCAGTGGTGCAAACACTTACTTGTTCCTTGAAGCTTTAAATTCAGGGAGCTGGAATCATACAGTTGCACTGCACAGAAACCAGCTGACTGCTGGTATGATCTAACTGGCAGCTTCAGGTAACACCAACCCAAAATATTTACTATTAGGATCTGCAAGTTCAATATGAAACCATTATCACCAAGTTCTCATCGTCCTCTGAAGACTGAAGAACTGAAAAAAAGGCTGTAAAACACCAAAAGTTCAATTGAACCTGTAAAGCAGAGATATATAATACAACACAGGAACAAATTCAAGGCCATAGATATAATCAGATAAACAACTCTGGTTTATGTTAACTTGGACAAAAACCAAATAAAAGAAAAAAAGCAGCTATTAGATATGGCTTCATATTTTTCCAAGATTAAATAGACTGGGTTCTTTTGATGAGGTATTGTGCTGCAAACTAGTCTTTTTTTATTTTGTCTGTAAAGTGTATAACATCAGTGTAGAAAATATGCATTAATAATGAGATTTAGTATCAATATTCTGATCCAGAATTTTTTGTACAGAATAGGAAATCTTCCTACATAGTCACTGTTCTGTTCCAGTTGAATTTGTTCTTCTTTATTGTACAAAGTTCAAATGATCCAAAACCAGGTGAATCAATCCACACATTCACCTACTTCATAATGCTGTTGGACATAACCTAATTAAATGCTTTGTAAATATCTTATCCATCCTCCTGCCAATACAACATCACTCCTAGAAAACTATTTGTACTGCTTTCTCCCATTAATTTTTCATGTGTCAAGCCTTGGGTCTTTTGAGACCAGCTTT